ATTGAGATGGTGTTTATATTTCCAAAATTTTAATCTGGTAATTTCACACATTAAAGGAACTGATAATGTTGTGGCTGACTGTTTGTCAAGGATGTAAAATTTTATTACCCACATTGATCATGTGACATGTTTTGTGGTTGGTTGAGACCTTATATAAGTGGTTTGTTTGGGTGACACTCACATGAATGTGAGTGGTCTGAGTTTTGAATTTTATTCAAAATTACAATCCTGTTGAATATTTTGTTTATTTTCAGGTGAACCTTATTTAAAGGTGGTTTTTCATAATATGTAATCTTTTATGAAAATAAGTCTCACATGACTCAGTTGATATTGTAGCTAGTCATTGAAATAAAGGATTTACCCTGTCGGGTTTACCACTTTTAATATCCACATGGAAATATTGTAATACCCTTTTCTGAGGGACTTTGATGTATTATTATTTTTTGAAAGGGTTACTCCCATTTCACGAATTGTAAAAGCTTGAGTTATTTCCCTTTTATTCCCAGGGATGTTTTCACCTGGTATAAAGATTTTGGTTGGCTACATTTGTAGAACATTTTTTTTATTTTATGCACGATTGGTTACTTATGTATGTTTTTGTGGAACCTATCTGCCACTTCCAAAAAGGGAGGGGATGTGACCTACTTAGGTCTGGTAATTTTATTTTGACAGTTGTTATAATACCATATATAGTCTGTGGTGTGGCACAGCGGTTAGAATCTCGGCGCGCCACGGCGGCGGCCGAGGCTCGATTCCTCGGTTCGGAACCGAGTAGGGTGGCCCTGTTACGCAGTGGCCTGGATCACGGGTTTCGGTTCCCGGTTAGATCCCATGACCCTCAGGGTGGCCCTTGTGGCCTGGATCACATTTGATCCCATGACCCTCGACCTGTGTGGTCGTATGAGACTTGGTGACACACAATAGGCAGCTCATTGATCAGACGTCGTTGAGAGACCTAAGCCCTGTGTGTTGCCGTGTAGTACTAAGTTGTTTAAGTAGCATATTATTATATTACTTGTGGTTAAGTAATTCTTTATGCTTATAGCAGCGTTGTGTAAACTGTGGTGATTTTTCTGAAGTGTTAAAAGCTGTGATAGAGTATCATATTATTATTTCCCACACATTGTAAGTTGGGTTTCGTTCATTCTGTAAATCTATTTTATTCCTGTATAAATCTAGTGTTCTGCCACGACTTTGTACACTCATTACAAGTTATATGCAGATTAAATGTATTGTTGGCATCAGTAGTTTCTCTAGTGTTTCCCCTAGACAATTACGAGTCCTAGCGAACTAGTGTGTTAACTTTCTTTTATTTAGGCTTGTCGCCATCTGTGTGTAATCAGTTAAACGAATCCGGGAGCGTTCGCCATCTATCTGGCTGATAGATTGGTGTCCGTTACAGCTAACATTAATCAAATAACGAAAGTTCAGTGGCGGCCTAAAACAATGAATTTTTTTTCATTAAATCGACAAGTCAGAGTGACATATTTTCATCTGTAATGTGGACCAGTTAAAGCCCATATTTTTTAAAACAAAAGAATCCATTTATTTTTTATTAAAGCAGATCCTCGCGCAATCATAAGTCAATAATTAGAGTGCTAAAAATAACGTTCATAATGAAAAAAAAAATGATTCAGGGTTAAGATGAGGATCCATTCCATAATTATTTTTTTTAAAATTATCAGTAAAATCATCTTTTTGTTTTTTATGATATAAAATTAGATGACATATTCTTTTTACTAAAGACAAAAACTTACAATATTTCAATGGAAACATCAATCGATTATTCATGAAAAATTTTATGCTTTAGGAAAAAAGTACATACACAATAAAAAAGAAACAAAATGAACTAAATGTTTTAACAATTCATAAAAGAAATGGCCATGATTTTATGACCAAGCTAATACTTGCAGTTGAGTTTATGTTAATCAAATTCATGTGAAAGATTGAGTTTAATTTACGTACTGCATTACAGATTTTGGTGGTAATATTAAAACAGCAACGAAACTTGATCAACATCGGTGTGACATTAATCGTTTCATCTGGAAAAGGGTACAACAGGCGTGTGTACATTCTTTATAAGATGGGTCAAATACGCACCACGTTAAACAGTATGGTATTTGATGTTTTAACGTTTGCATCACAAAATGGACACTACAGGGTGGTAGATATTCTAATTAAAGGTGGAGTAGACATGAACCATGTAAAAGATAATGGATTTACGGTCGGTCGAGTTTGCACAAGCTAAAAAATGGCGCTACATATGCAATGCTAACATTATGATACTAGGTAACTGTGATGTGGGGTTTTATAAGTGTGTATGATACTTCATCTATGTATCTTTATTCTGAACGAGCCGACCCGCAGCGTATCATACGCCGCTATTTAGTTGTTTTATTTTAACACGTTTTTCTTAACTCAGCTTCGCGTTTGTTTGTTTGTTTGTTGTTAAAATTGACATCGAAAATTAGCCCACTTCTGATTGCTCTAGAGATATGAAATTTGGCATGCAGGCTACTTTCGCCTAACAATTTCAGAGGCAATCATAAAAACTAGCAATTAGAGACCGTAATTAGCTTAATTTAATTACGCCCCAAGGACCATAAAATTGAGGACATGATTTCTAAAGATACCGACAAGACTGGAGGCCTATTGACACAGTTACTTCGGCCCTAATCGATGTGAGCACGCTGGCCGTGATCGTATAGTGGTTAGTACTTCGCGTTGTGGCCGCGACAACCCAGGTTCGAATCCTGGTCGCTCAAGATTTTTAGTCCGTGTATTTATAAACACTTAATCAAGTCATTAGATAAAGTAGAAAATAAACTATATAAAAAACTTTTTAAAAAACCAGGTTCTTGTAATGACTGACAAAAAAACGTGGGTCGGGCAGATGGGTCGGGAAATTTGATGGTGAACGTACCCATGTTTTTTGTCAGTCATCAAAAGAACCTGCACCGAGGAAGCACAAAAGAAAAATTTATTTTCTACTTTTTAGTCCACAAGAAAAACGTGGTTTTTTAAAAAGTTTTTTGTAAGTATTTTTTCTACTTTTCAGCAATTCGTAATTTGTGAATTCGACAGTACCAATGCTGCCACTGAAAATATTTGCTTTAAAACACTACCCCCCCCCCCCCTTTCCCCTAACCCCGACCCTACACCCCCCCCCCCCCCCGTGAAAGCAGCCTCCTCTTAGTTATTTCTTAGTTACCTCCTGTAAGTTTAATATTGAACTAAATTATCTGCCCCTAATAGAAACCCGGCTCTACGGCTCTACGATTTGTAAACATTTATCTTAGTAAACATTTAGAGTGACCACAACTCACCAGACAATGTGGGGGTGGGGTGGGGGTGGTAGTGATAGTGATAGAGAGAAAGAGAGGGGACTGCAAGGAGGCGCTTGCAGCTTGTTTTCTAACGGCTCCCAGAAGAGAATTATATATATAGATACTGCCATTATTAACACTGCAACTAAAAGCTTGTGAAGGAGGACGGGAACACTCTTATCTTTCCGCAGAAACTAATGAACGACTTTAACAACTTCGTTCATAAAAATAACATTAACTTTAATATCACACACTAATAGATCTATTAAACAGTTATGAAATACGTCCGTTTTCAACTATAGCTAACCCCCATCGAACTTCACTGCTGCGTCTTACGTCGTCGGTCCATTGTCGCGTCATGCTGACGTCACACTCACGCCACAAATATTTTATTGAACACGCGCACAATACTCTCGCACCAAATCGTCTACCATCAAGTTCATGCTGTCCCCAGTAACCTCTACTAATCTAGTCTAATTCTATATATCTAAGCTATGACAGTAACATATATAGGGGAGATAACACATTTGCAAATCTAAAGTTGTTGATAATTTTCGTATTTTTTTTCCATTTTAAAGTGATTATTCATACTACATTCATTATTAAGAACATACTGTAACCTCTGATTGTGGAATTGTGTGTTGGTGTGTATTGGCAATTAAACAGAATATCGCAGTTGTGGTTATAGAAAATAGTGAAATAGAATGTTCAAAAGACCAACAAAAAATGCGGCTATGGTTGACACATTTTTGTCAATTGTCGTTCCGGGCTGTGCAACGAGTTTAGCGTACTGCGACGGTTAAGAAAACTGTGGGAAACGCCAGAGACTTGAATTGAGACATTTATACAAATGACAGAAGCTCTTTTTAAAAAAAGGAACACTTTTCTGTTGGCTTGCTGAAGATAATAGATACAGGGAGAAATTGGGTTATTCGTACTCAGAGTCTGTTTACGTTGAAGCAATCTTTATTGTAAACGAGAAAAAGAATTATGGTTTTAATTTGGAATTGTTAAAACGAAGATTAATTTTAACATATAATTACAAAACAGTACTAATTACTAACACAGTGTTAGAAAGAGTACTACTGGTAGAGCATACATGTACAAAAGGGAATACAGATTCTAATTTTAGTCAATGTATAACCTTGGTAGTCGCTAAACGTGTAGTTTACATGCATAGTTGTCAAATTAAATATGACCTCCGCTCGTTAAAATATTGCTAAATTACATATACGAGGCTCTTTTCCCGTATGTATCAACGGCGACGTCGTTTTACCTCTCGGAGGGTGGCAATATGCAAAATGACCCGTTAAAAAAAAAGTTATCGATTCGCGCGTCTGAAGATCGAACATACAGAAGTTCATGTGTGCTTTGAAAAAATAGTATGGTCTTTGTATTAAGGTATCCGTCTCCAGACTACTTCCCTTTTGTTACTAATTTCAGCTGTTTTTGATTTACATTTCTGGTTGATTTAAATACAACTTTGATGTATCTTTGATCAAGTTATTATTTCAACCACATCCAGAATACATTGTATTAAGTATTAATTTTATATCTGTAAACACACACATATGTAATAGTATTAAATTTATATTTCAGATCAATCAAATGTGCATATTTGATTACCTCAGCTTTTGGACATAGAAATAAAAAAAAAACAGAAATAAAACAGCAATGAATACAATAAGTATTCTGAGGGTTGTTTTCACCTTAGCTATACTATTTATAGGAACAAGTGTTGAGGACAAAAAGGAAATAGGAAAACGTTTTGACTTGTTGTTAGCAGCATTTTATGGCAACATTGGGCAAGTACAGTTACTTATTAAAGAATTCGGAGCCATAAATCATGTTGACGGTAATGGTAATACACCACTTTTACTTGTAGCGTATAATGGACAACATGAGGTTGTTAAATTATTACTTCATTTAGGAGCTGACATAAACCATACAAACCAACAAGGTGACACTGCTTTACATTTAGCATACCTTGGTGGCCATTTCAGCGTAGTAGACATTCTACTGAATAGGTCTGCTGAAATAATTGGAGTTGATATTATTAGTGGCAAACAAATAATCGCTGCGACATGTAATGTTTTGAAAAACATACTGAGTTGTGGAATTAATACAAAATGTATATCAGTAAACACATTTTACAATTTAGAATTCGCTGTTAAAAAGCTGAATAATACTGAAATGACGATTGTATCTCTAGAGTCTCCGTTGGTAGTGTCTCTATTGGAAAAAGTTCAAGATGTAAACTACACCTTAAGAAATGGACAGAACTCACTTTTGTTAGCCTCACAAAAAGGATATTATAAAGTAGTAGAAATGTTACTTAGAAATGTAGCAGACATAGACCATGTAGAGCAGAGGAAGTGGAATGCATTAATGTTTGCATCTCGTAACGGACATGATAAAGTGGTAGATATGTTACTTAAAAGCGGAGCAGATTTGAAGCTAGGAAACAATATTAGCCGTGATGCATTCGTTATTGCCTGTGAGTTTGGTCATGAAAAAGTTGTAGATATTTTACTCAAACACGGAGCCAACATAAGTCAAACTTATCAAACTGGGTGGAATGGATTAATTGTTGCATCTGAAAATGGGCATGACAAAGTGGTTGATATATTACTTAGAAATGGAGCGGACGTAAATCATATAGATCATAGAAAATGGAATGCATTAATGTTTGCATCTCAAAACGGACACGATAATGTAATAAACCTTCTACTTAAGCATGGAGCAAACGTAAACGCTGTCGAAGAACACGAATGGAATGCATTAATGTTTGCATCTCAAAATGGGCATGACAAAGTGGTTGATATATTACTTAGAAATGGAGCAGACGTATATCATTTAGAACATAGAAAATGGAATGCATTAATGTTTGCATCTCGTAACGGACATGATAAAGTGGTAGATATGTTACTTAAAAGCGGAGCAGATTTGAAGCTAGTAAACAATATTGGCCGTGATGCATTCGTTATTGCCTGTGAGTTTGGTCATGAACAAGTTGTAGATATTTTACTCAAACACGGAGCCAACATAAGTCAAACTTATCAAACTGGGTGGAATGGATTAATGATTGCATCTCAAAACGGACGCCTTAATGTAATCAACCTTCTACTTAAGAATGGAGCAAACGTAAACGCTGTCGAAGAACAGGAATGGAATGCATTAATGATTGCATCTCAAAATGGGCATGACAAAGTGGTCGATATATTACTTAGAAATGGAGCAGACGTACATCATTTAGAAAATAGAAAATGGAATGCATTAATGATTGCATCTCAAAACGGACATGCAAATGTAATCAACTTTCTACTTAAACATGGGGCAGATATAAACAGTGTTGAAGACGACGGAGAAAATGCATTAATGATAGCATCTCGAAAAGGACATGAACATGTTGTTGGGATATTTTTCAAACATGGCGCTACGACCTTTTTTTACCCTCATATAATACAAATTGTAGCTGTATCTACACAATTATTTCTATTTTTTGTAATTCTGATTTTAGTTATTTGGTTAGTATTTGCGAAATATCGAGAAAATGAAATCATCGAAAATGATTGGGATCAATTGATGATAGCGGCGTACAATGGAAGATATAAAGCTGTACAGTTTCTGATTAAGATCGGAAGTGATATTAATCATTTAAACAATAGTAAAAATAATGCTTTAATATTAGCGTCAGAAAAAGGCTATGATAAGATTATGGATCTGCTAATAACACATTATTCAAGTTTAAATCAAATAAATCAAAATGGACTTAGTGCACTCATGTCTGCATCCCTTAATGGACATACTAAAGCAATATACATTCTTTTGAATAGAAAAGCAGATGTTAATCTAACCAACAAACATAATAAGAATGCATTAATTTTTGCATCTCAAAATGGAAATTACAAATGTGTAGAGATACTTTTGAAATATAAGGCGGATGTACGTCAAACAGATAATAACGGAAGAAATTCTCTAATGATTGCATCACACAATGGGCATGATAAAGTGGTTGATATTCTACTTAAGCATGGAGCAGACGTAAACTATATCAATCAAGATGAAAATAATGCATTAATATGTGCAAGCTTTAATGTGCATACTAAAATAGCAAATATGCTTATTAAAAAAGGAGCAGATGTAAATCATGTAGATTCATATGGTGATGATGCATTAATTATGGCCTCTCAAAACGGACATGATAAATGTGTAGAAATTCTTTTGAAGAATGAGGCGGAAGTACATAAAACAAATAAAAATGGAAGAAATGCCTTAATGTGTGCATCACTTAATGGACATGAGAAAGTGGTGGATATTTTACTTAGAAATGGAGCTACAGTAAATGATGTAGATTCATATGGTAATGATTCATTAATGTTAGCAGCTGGAAAAGGAAATTATAAATGTGTAGACATACTTTTGAAGTATGAGGCGAATGGACATAAAACAAATAAAGATAGAAGAAATGCCTTAATGCGTGCCTCACTTAATGGACATGAAAATGTGGCTGATGTTTTGCTTAAGCATGGAGCAGACGTAAAATATATCAATCAAGATAAATATAATGCATTAAAATGTGAAAGCTATAATGGGCATACTACAATAGTAGATATGCTCATTAAAAAGAGAGCAGATGTAAATCATGTAGATTCAGGTGGTAATAATGCATTATTGATGGCCTCTCAAAACGGACATGATAAATGTGTAGAGATTCTTTTGAAGAATGAGGCGGATGTAAATAAAACAAATAAAAATGGAAGAACTGCCTTAATGTGGGCATCACTTAATGGACATGAAAATGTGGTTGATGTTTTGCTTGAGCATGGAGCAGACGTAAACTATGTCAACCAAGAAGGACATAATGCATTAATGTTTGCAAGTTTTAAATGGCATACTAAAATAGTAGATATGCTCATTAAAAAGGGAACAGATGTAAATTATGTAGATTCATATGGTGATGATGCATTAATGATGGCCTCTCACAACGGACATGATAAATGTGTAGAGATGCTTTTGAAGAATGAGGCGGAAGTACATAAAACATATAAAAATGGAAGAACTGCCTTAATGTGGGCATCACTTAATGGACATGAGAAAGTGGTGGATATTTTACTTAGAAATGGAGCTACAGTAAATGATGTAGATTCATATGGTAATGATTCATTAATGTTAGCAGCTGGAAAAGGAAATTATAAATGTGTAGACATACTTTTGAAGTATGAGGCGAATGGACATAAAACAAATAAAGATAGAAGAAATGCCTTAATGTGTGCATCAATTAATGGACATGAGAAAGTGGTGGATATTTTACTTAGAAATGGAGATACAGTAAATCATGTGGATAAAAATGGTAATGATTCATTAATGTTAGCAGCTGGAAAAGGACATTATAAATGTGTAAACATACTTTTGAAGTATGAGGCGAATGGACATAAAACAAATAAAGATGGAAGAAATGCCTTAATGCGTGCCTCACTTAATGGACATGAAAATGTGGTTGATGTTTTGCTTAGAAATGGAGCTACAGTAAATGATGTGGATACAGATGGTATTGATGCATTAATGTTAGCAGCAGGAAAAAATTATTATAAATGTGTAGACATACTTTTAAAGTATGAGGCGAATGTAAATAAAACAAATAAAGATGGAAGAAATGCCTTAATGCATGCCTCACTTAATGGATATGAAAATGTGGTTGATGTTTTGCTTAAGCATGGATCAGACGTAAACTATGTCAACCAAGAAGGACATAATGCATTAATGTTTGCAAGCTTTAATGGGCATACTAAAATAGTTGATATGCTCATTAAAAAGAGAGCAGATGTAAATCATGTAGATTCATATGGTTTTGCTGCATTAATGATAGCCTCTCAAAACGGACATGATAAATGTGTAGAGATGCTTTTGAAGAATGAGGCGGAAGTACATAAAACAAATAAAAATGGAAGTAATGCCTTAATGTATGCATCACTTAATGGGCATGAGAAAGTGGTGGATATTTTACTTCGAAATGGAGCTACAGTAAATGATGTAGATTCATATGGTAATGATTCATTAATGTTAGCAGCTGGAAAAGGAAATTATAAATGTGTAGACATACTTTTGAAGTATGAGGCGAATGGACATAAAACAAATAAAGCTGGAAGAAATGCCTTAATGTGTGCATCACTTAATGGACATGAGAAAGTGGTGGATATTTTACTTAGAAATGGAGCTACAGTAAATGATGTGGATACAGATGGTATTGATGCATTAATGTTAGCAGCAGGAAAAAATTATTAGAAATGTGTAGACATACTTTTAAAGTATGAGGCGAATGTACATAAAACAAATAAAGCTGGAAGAAATGCCTTAATGCATGCCTCACTTAATGGATATGAAAATGTGGTTGATGTTTTGCTTAAGCATGGATCAGACGTAAACTATGTCAACCAAGAAGGACATAATGCATTAATGTTTGCAAGCTTTAATGGGCATACTAAAATAGTTGATATGCTCATTAAAAAGAGAGCAGATGTAAATCATGTAGATTCATATGGTGATGATGCATTAATGATGGCCTCTCAAAACGGACATGATAAATGTGTAGCGATGCTTTTGAAGAATGAGGCGGAAGTACATAAAACAAATAAAAATGGAAGAACTGCCTTAATGTGTGCATTATTTAATGGACATGAGAAAGTGGTGGATATTTTACTTAGAAATGGAGCTACAGTAAATGATGTGGATACAGATGGTAATGATGCATTAATGTTAGCAGCCACAAGAGGTCACCTAAAATTTATCGAGTTTTTAATAAAAACTCAAGCAGATAGAATTTTATTACCTCAAAACATGCCGAATGCATTCACAGCCTCCATGTTGCATGGCGTAACTGTTTCAGATGTGTATCTATTTAACATTGTTTTGACTTTGATTGGAAACAATTTTAGAATTGTAGAAACAATTTTATCTTTAGCTCATGAGAAATACATTACAACAAGAACAAAAATGCTTCTCCGTTTTATTAGTAAATCAACAGATGAAGGTAAAAATAATTCATTATTTTTGTTAAAATATGTATTGCTTGTTAACATTATTGTAATTTAAATTATGTGAAATTAAATATATCGACATTGTTAGTATTATTTTGCCAGACACAAGCTTGTAATAGAATACAGTTTAATCAAAATTAACAGTTATTTATTGAAATTATAAGACCAAAATAACCTAAGAAATGGATATTTTACTTTTTCAACAAAAAATAACGGAAGAGGGCTTAAAATGTATGAAACTGGTTCATCTATAGTTTTTGTTTCAAGTCAAATAAGTTCAGATAGCTTAGACGAGTTTATCCTTCAGATCGGGCTTCAATGTTATCAGATAGATGTATCTGTGTTGTTTGCTCAGTTAACCTTTATTTGGGCTGTTGCAAATGCATGTTATGTTTGTGTTAACTTAGAGACTTAAGATGCACCATGTTAATGCATTAGATCAACGTTCTATTCAGTTAAATGTAAGATCTTGATTATTGTCTATCGGTCAGCAATATTTTCCACAATTCCATAACTTAGTTGTACAAATTAATATCATAAAATTAAAATAGTAGCTGTTCCCGTTTCACTGCAATCTTTCACTAAGAGAATATCGAATTCCGATATGTTGATCCTTTTACTTTACAGCACCACATTGTAACACAATAATTGTGTTACTATGTCTATTATGCCTTAGTCGGGATATATGAAATTTAAAAACCATACATTAATATTAATATTTAAAAGAACAAAATGTTCCGTAATGGATTAAAAACGGTTTTACCCTTATCAAAGTATACGCGTCATATATACATACACATATTTGACTCGCTTTACACCAAACTAGAGATGTAACAAATGATCTGCAAATGCAGAGTTTTAACAGGTTTGCAATAACATTCATGAACATAATTAATAATTAGGGATATATGCGCTTTTTTCAAAATAATTTGTCGATATGTAAATAATAATCAAAACATATATGCACAGTAATTTTTCTGTTTTATTTTATTCTGTGAATACTTGAAGATCTAACGATAAATCTCGATCCTCTTCTACACTAATAATTAAAAACGAAGAAGAAGAAGAAGAAATAACGAAAAATGTTGTCATTTCAATTTGTTTTGGAAAATGGTATATAAATATAGCTTTTTAAAAATGTCGACTACGAATGATTTTATATACTGTTATTGAAGCTGTGCTTAGGCTAGGACACCCTATACAATCTTAATATTAAGCATTGATAAACTTCTTCTATTGAATATGACCATATTTATTGTGTCCAAATATTATTGAAATGGCATTTTTAATTTTTCTTAAATTTAAAGCAAAATATTCTTTATGTTGTGAAATTCACAGGAAAATCACAATTCGAAGATTCATTATTACTACAATAGATTTTGTTTAAGTTTTGAGACCAGGACAATATACATACATAAATGTAAAAAATGTATATACATTCATATAAGCTGTATATTACACCACATTGTAAAAACAATAGAGAAATAAACTTGGAGTGATCTCCCCTAAACTTTCTCGAATATTCTTATACTACTTGGTATGGCAACTCGTGATATAGACATGATTTTTTATCTATTTTTAATTACTATCAATTTAAAAAAAATAGAATACAATCACGTAGAAAAAAAGAAATACACACCAAGTGAACGCCTTATAATATGTGTATAATAATGCGGAATATTATTAGTGCTTTTTAAATTCACATGCATTTTTTGACAAATCGGAAATAGCGTAAATTACTACTCCCAGTCAACGGACATTACTCAAAATTTGACAGAAGGCAAGTACTTAGATCTTTTACTTACATTTATCAATGTGAAATATAGAAAAATTGAATGCAGTATAAGTTCCACTTTCGGTTACCGGAAATTCCTGAAAAGTTGATACAAATTTGATATAATACTGATGTATGCAATTTCATTAACCTAGCTGTAACGGTACTTAAGTTATCGTGATCACAGACACATATACACACACATACACACATTTTACAAATGCATACGTACATACACACACACACGTAAAGACAAAATTGCAAAACTATTTTTTTTCCGACTTAAGTTTTTTTTTGCACGATTTCATTACGTCCACTATACTTTGTATACGAGAAAGAAAAAAAAAATATTTGATAACCTTTAATCGCATCTTTTGTTAAACAACGTTTAATGGCTTTAATAGTGTTTTCAGCACACATCAAATTAATTGCTAAATATCTTGGGATTAAATTAACTGCCGCTGTTTTATAAAATTCGGCAACGGGGTTAACAGCTAATGTATAAATATCAATATATATAATTCTCTAGGTGTAGACCACAACGCAAGAAAGCCGACTATCTAACCATCCTCCCGCCCCTCCCTCGTTCTACAGGCATGCGCGACAGACTATACAGCCATCACCCCCACCCTCGCCAGTCTGGTGAGCAGTGGATTGTGAGGATAATCGTCCTTCATAAGCTATTGATAGTATTTTAAAGCAAAATGTAGTGTCGAGTTCTCAAATTTTGAAATAATGAGAAGTAGAAAATAAAACACCTATATATATGCGTATGCTACGCCTAGGATCGGCTCGTATATTCTAATTTAAAATACATGTTTTAATAGTAACATACAGTATATTGTTCTAAATTTTAATATCAGCATTGAGCGAATTTAGAGAAAATGGTACTGCTGCAGAATTGTTTGAGGAGAACTTCTGTGAAAATTCCGACGCTGATATCCACAATTTTATAAAGTAAGTATTATTTGTAATAAAAAAATATCTTCCTACCTGCTTTCACGTGGTACATGTATGTTGTCAAGTCATTATATATTTTTTTATAATGATTAGAAATCAAACTAGCTTTGTTTAGGCATAAATAATAATGACCAGATTAAAGTTTTAGAATTATATTGAAAACAAAGACAAATATCAAAGGTAATTATTTTGAAATTAGCATACAGACAGACAATACATTTGAAGGTAAGCGAAGCTATGTGCCTTAAATATATTGTCTTTGTCATCTGCCTGTATACTTATGCATTAGAAGCAGGTCAAAGTTGAGTTACAAGATTTGCCACAATGTATTTTTGTAAGTGATTTAAGTATATAGTTTGTGTCAGGAATAGTATTGAAGGTATAACATTTAAAATATACCATAACCTACATTAAATGAATAATGCATCGACAAATCTGTTAAACAATTTAATTTTTGTTAATGGCGCATTAAGTGTTAAACATGCAAATATTTTCTGTACGGTTTCGTGATCATTTTACCGCTGTGCTAATTTAACACAAGATCACTTGTTTTAGAAAACGGTTTGAAGAGTTAAGTTTTTCTTATACATCGTTACGATGCCAGGACAAAATTTCTTACACAAAATATGTAAGCATTGTGAACAATCAAATTAAAACGCATGTTCAAAATTACAAAATTAATTCAAACGACAGTAATATACATTGTGTTTCCACTTAGAAAGTTGCTAATTTCAAATAACATACACGATCACATAGTAAATCATAAAGTATGTTCTTCTGTGTCTACGGCTTACATAATGTTTTATAATTATTGTATTTTAATAAGGTCCATCGACTGCTATATAACTATTACAGCGTCTGCTCTCGCAAAAAAGGTAAGATATGTTTATCTAAAAATTTCGAGCTTTTATATTTAAAACAGGGCGGAACTACTATACCGCTGGACTCCAAAACACGGGATTGGGGGATGGGGGGGGGCGTATAAGGGGTCCAAAAGTCGACTTCACACAACAAATGCATGTGTTTGCACCGTGACAGACTTGTGATTTTGTAAAAAACATATACTACAACATTGATTGTTCTACAGTAACTATCACACAGTTAAATAACTGCATGACCTGTAGTTTGAAAAATAAGTAAACCGTTCAAAACTCTACAGACCTTATTGTCCCTCTTTTAATAGTGTATTGCATATTTTTTTATCATAATTTTTTTATGAAAGCCATCACCATTCTCTCCTGACAAAACGTTTGCCCAAAAACGAGTTTCTAGCTCTTAAGTGGGCGATGACAGAGAAGTTCCATGACTATATCGTCGGCTCACACATCAAGGTGGTCACAGACAATGATCACCTGTGCTACATTCTTCGGAATGCCAAACTGGATGCTACAAGTCATCGCTGGCTGGCGTCTCTGTCGATCTATGACTTTGACCTGCAGTACAAAAAAGGGTCTACTCACGTAGATGCCGATTTATTGTCCAGACGACACCAGGACGAGCCGGCAGAGGAGGATGAGCAATTTCAAGTTTTGCTCGAAGACACAAAATTTTTGAGGGAAAAGTTTGAGTTGCAAGCTGCCGAGTCGATTCACATCGACACACACCTAGTATCAGCCATAATTGCAGCCAAGGGTGGCGAGAGCCAGTCGAATTTCTCAACGGATATGAGAACTAACGGGGAAGGTATCACATACATACCGACTGTCGAACAGGTGGTAAAGGATCCGTCATCCATCAGGGAGGATATCTTAGAACAGTCGGGACTGATCATGTACATGATAAGATCTATTTCATACCCATCTGGATGATGCGATTAAACATGCTCGAATGCGGTTTTACTGGCCACATATGTTCCCAGACCTTGAAAGGAAGATCGAGAACTTTGGGAGATGTCTAAGGAGGCGTGCACCAGTTCAGAAAGCATAGATGGAAACAATAACCACTTCGTTTCCGTTAGAACTGCTTTCAATAGATTATCTAACTATTGAAGCAGAAGGTCACAAACAAAGTGTTCTAGTGATGTTAGACCACTTTACAGAGTTTGCCGTGGCAGTGTGCACCAAAGACCAGACGGTGAAACGGTAGCCCGGACACTGTGGCGTGATTTGTTTTCATGACTTACGGTTTTCCAAAGAGAATCCTCACCGATCAGGGTAGGGATTTTGAAGCTAAAATTGTGAAAAACCTGTGTGAAATGGCGGGTATTCGCAAGTGTTGGACCACACCCTACCATCCCGCAGGAAACCCAGTAGAAAGGTGGAACAGGACGTTACTAAACATGATCCGAAGCCTTGAGGAGGACGAGGTGGCGACGTGGAGGAAAAAACTGCCGGCCATTGTACATGCGTACAATAGCTGTATCCATTCAAGCACAGGCTACAGTCCATTTTTCCTCTTCTTTGGTCGTCATCCTAGGCTGCCCTTCGATTTAGCTTTTGGGATCGATGTAGGAAGAAAGAAACAGGGAACACAGACGTAGTATATACAAAGTCTAAAAACCCAACTGAAGTCGGCCTACAGACGTGCAGCAGAGAACCCACGCTGCTGAGCTGGAGGTTGGAGATCGGTGCTTAATTCGCCGTTTGGCCCTAGAGTCATGTCAAAAATCAGCGACAAGTGGGAGGCCGAGATTTATGTGGTAGTGGATAGAGCGGATGACGTGCCAGTGTACACGGTGCAGGAGGAGACAGGAAAAGGGCAATGTCGGACATTGCATCGGAACTTCCTATTGCCGGTGGGATGCTAGATATGGATGCTGGCTTAATATTGGCAGAGGAAGAGAGACGGCGGCAAGAACAACGACGGAAAGAGGTCATACCAACCCGGGAGGCAGATGAAGAGGAGGAACTGGCAATCAAGCTGGTCCCAAACCTTTCGTGCCAGAGGTGGTCGCCCGGGACGGACAAGAGAAGGTGATGGTCAGGCCAGCCCCACATCTGGACGAGGTGAATTCGAGGGACGAGGCATCGGACGAGGATGACTCTTTGATCAACTCAGAACCACCAGCGGAGCTGCGGAGGTCAACCCGTCAACGACGACCCGTCGAGCGACTCAACCTGGCGCATCAAGTGGTGACCAGTACCAGCACTGGAGCCTCTATCGGTTTGCAAGGAATAATATATTTGAGTTGTTAGGACTTAATGAGTACTACTGTACTGAATTTTTTTTAAGTACAATTATTTATGAGTTGTAAATGTAAATTCCATTATACATTTATTTGTGAGGGGGGCTGTGTAACACATATGGTTACCAGCCAAAGGGGGATTAGAATAAAGTTTTAATTCATTGGGTTGTGGCCCCTGTGGGATCGCAACACTTTTGATGTAGTTGTTTTGCAGGTTCTTCAGTGAGCGATTTTACTATGGGTAGTTTCGTGCCTAGCCGTGTCAGTCACACGCAAGGCTGCGGTCTGTGGACACGGAGGGTGACGGTACCAAGAGGTAGACATAACAATGTAGACCTAATGCAGGTAGTGTGGTTATATAAATTATGTTTATTGTTAGAATACTTAGTTGTGTATTCCTACAAGTGCTCCATGTTGCACACTAGCTAGGTTGAATATTTATTTAAGTATTTATTATTGTACTACTTATTGGTACTTGTTGGCAGTACTGTGTACTGGCCGCAACATATTTTATTGCACCCGTATATTTTGTAGCCTACACGTGGTATTATAATTGATGTAACTTTTTGATGACATTTGTTTTAGGGCTACAGTTTTCTTCTTTTTTGGTTTGTTTCGTTATTCATCTATAATCGTTTACTACTGTTGTTCTGCATCGCCGTCATGGCTCGATGTACTGTTGAATAAAGTCAATTAGTGGACAACAGCGTCGCTTCAATTTGTCCTTAATCTCAGGGTCAGCTCGTCTTAACTACAACACCTCAGTGGGTAAAAGCATGCCAACTGAGTGAGGGTTACAAACAATTACTGAAAATATAGTAGGCATTGTTTAATAAATAAAAAAGGTGTGGGCTTAAAAAAGGTGAGTCACGAAAATACCATAAATATGTAATTTGTAAAACCGATTGTAAGCTTTGGGTGTTTCCTAGATGATGAAAAATACTATTATCAAATACATTGAAACCCAGCTATTTAATGATGTCAAATACAATATGATGACAGATATAAAACTTTTCGTAGAGGGCTTGTAAGATTGGGGAAAAATATTTTTTAATTAATAGGTTCATAAAAATGGTATTTTAAACACATAAAATATTTTTCTCCCCGGAAAATTTAGTCAGGCAGCTATTCGGAAACGGGGGGGGGGGGGGGGAATTGGGTACACCCTAAGTCTATAATATAGAAAGATGTCAATCTTTTTAACTACAAACTTGAGGGGCGTGTACTTGACATTTTTTTTTATATGGGGGGGCTGGTGGTATAAATGTACGAAAAAGGAGAAAATAATATTCAAATACTCAACTATTTAAATTACTGTAAAGAAAAGCGTGGGTCGCTATAACATGTATTGGCTATTTTTACTGATTTTTAGGAATCAACCCACTCTTTCCTTTATAAAAAAAAGTTAAATATTAAAGTATTATAATATATTTAAGCCTTGACAAGGAAAATAATATACGGTATACAAATTAACTTCAAAGTAATTACTAACTAGTTTACTACAAAAAACATGGATGCCTTCGTCTCTCTCTGTCGCCCCGTGCCAGTGGCCGAAATTCTTTTTATACCTCTCTATCTCTGATGGATTATGGGATAGTGTAACTAAGGTCGAAGACTATTCGGGGGGGGGGGGTGTTGTGATCACCTTCAAATAAGTCTAAATGAAAATTACATCATTTAATTAAATAGGGAGCTTAAAGATAATTGAGTACAAATAAATTGACATTAAACTATTAACAAAACCTAAATAGGTCAAACCCCCTTTCTTTTAAAGTGACAGATTAGTGACAGAAAGGAAGCTATTATATAAATACAAATCTGACAAAACAAAACAACAAAAAATTATGTGAGGAAAAATTACTAGAAAATTAAATGGAAATAATTCCACATTTTACAACAATCCTCATTTGAGACAAAGGCACATCAAAGTCCCTTATTTAAGGGTATCCATATATACATGAAAATAAAATATCTAAGAAAACCAATAGGTTAATCTACTTGATTCAAATTCAGCATCAGCTGAGCCATAATATTTTACTCTGAATTAATACACATAAGGAAAAATACCTTCAAAATATGTATACTTGAAAACTAACAAGAATCTCTAACAATGGTACATTTAAAGAATCAGCAGAATGCAAACAATCCACATACTGGATACAGGGTTAATTACTTAAGTAAACAGCTTAAAAATTGATATAACGTAATCAAAATAACTCACATAAATCATGTGGTCATCAACAGTTGTCTAAATTCTTGACAAACAGTCAGCAATTACATTGTCTGTACCTTTCATAAGCTTAATAATCAAATTAAATTTTTGAAAATACAGGAACCATCTCAAAATTCTATGATTTTTCTGCCCTAATTTGTTAGTAAATTTGAGTTGGTCATGGTCAGAAAAAAAAACGAGGACTGGGTATACTGCAGAAGCTACATACACTTCAAAATGTTGTAGTCACAACACTAGAGCTAAAGCTTTATTCTCTATTGGGAAGTGATTCTTTTGATTAGTATTTATTTTTCTGGGAAAATATGCAATGTGGTGATCAATTCCTTGATCATCTTCCTGAAATAATACAAAACCAATGGCGGTGTCACTGCCATCTACTGCAAGTTTAAAAGGTTTACTAAACTTTGGGGCAGCCGTGAGAGGAGCATTGGACAGAAAAGTTTTAATGTCCAAAAATGAATTATTATATTCATCTGACCAAATAAAGCTAACTCTTTTTTAATAAGGCATTCAAAGGCGCTCCTATAGATGAAATATTTCTACAGAAGCGTCTATAGTATCCTGCCACCCCAAGGAATCTCTTCACTTTCTTACAACTTTTACGAGGAGTCATTTTCACTATAGCTTCTACTTTGGCTTAAATAGGTCTAACTTGATTAGTACCTACTTGATATCCTAAATAAGTTACGGAACTTTTACAAAAATCACTTTTGTGTAAATTAACTGTGAAATTAACACCAGGCAATGTTTTGAAAACTTAAGATAACTGGACGATATGTTCATCAAAAGAATCTGAATATAAAACAATGTCATCTAAATAAGCATCACATTTATCAATACCAGAGATGATAGAGTTTATTACACGTTGGAATGTTTGACCAGCTTTTTTTCATTCCAAAAGGCATGCGTTTGTACCTTTAGAAACCATTTGCCGTTACAAATGCAGATAGGGGCCTACTTCTTTGGCACGGTCTGACGAAGGAATTTGCCAGTAACCTGACAATAAGTCAACTTTTGAAAGGAGTGTGGACAGACCGATCTTGTCAATAATATCTTCTATTCTGGATAAAGAGTAGGAATCAGATTTTGTAAGGGCATTGACTTTCCGAAAGTTAGTGACTTTTTCTGAATGTCTCCCTTTGGGACTAAAAGAAAAGGGAAACTGCAGTTACTAAAACTTGGTTCTGTTATATCATTTTCCAACATGTATTTGATCTCATGCTTCATGATTAAAGCTTTCTCTTGGTTAACGCGGTAAGGATGCTGTTTTACAGAATTAGCATCTCCTACGTCAACATCATGAGGTGGAACATTGGTCTCCTTAGGTATATCACTAAAAAAATGGAAGGAAAGGCATAAAACAATTAAGACAAAATCTGGCTCTTTCATATATGGGTATATGTACACATTGCTTATCTAGGTTAGACAAAAATGATGAGTTTAATAATCTT